TGGATAGAAGAATTTGAACAAGCTACAAGAGCTAATAATATGAATGATGAAAGAAGAATTTGTATTATATCAACATATCTATGTAGTATTGCCAATCATTGGTACAAAAATCAAGTACAAGCAAATAATACATGGCCTACACATTACAATAATATTGACAATCAAAAAACTTCTTTTAAACCATGTTTTCTAAAAGAATTCTGTACACAAATCCAACTGTTACTATGACAACAACAATTAAATAATCGTATTCAAAGCGCAAACGAGTCAGTCAGTCAATATGCAACTGATATTTGCTCATTGCTCCACAAAATTAATCCAGACAATAACTATCCAACTCAATACAAAATTTGTGAATTTACAAAAGGTCTCAATCCACAATATGTCTTTTTCATTAATTTGCATCAACCTGAAACATTTGGAAAAGCTATTTCTATTGCTATTGAAACAGAAACTGGATTCAAAACCACTTATAATAATTCATTTACATTGGCAACCTCAACCATATCATACAATTATGAATTACCAATATAACCAAACACATCAACAACAACTAATAATACTGATATTAACACAACTTTGTTAGAGTTGACTAAACAAATTAAAAATTTGAACAACAATAATAACAATAGTAATAATTGTAACAATTTCCAATGCAACAATAATAATAATAATAGAACCAGCTTCAATCGCAACAATATTTTATGTTACAATTGTGGAAAAATTAGACATCTTGCTAAAGATTGTTACAGCAATTGCAATAATAATAATGAAAGAAATAGTTATAAAAATAGAAATAACAATAATAATAATAATGAAAGAAGCAATTATAATAGAAATAATAATAATAATAACAATTACAATTGCAATAATCAACAACCTAGTAACTTTGGAAGAGTGAAAGATACTGATAATCAACATGATAACCTCTTGTAACAATTATAACAATTAATTCAATCAAATAATCAACAATCTTCCAACAAAAATAATAATCAACATATAAACTAAAAAATGCACCTTTAAAAGGTGAGAGTGCATCCAAAATTATAAAACCTTCAGCTAAACAAAAATTGAAACAATTACTACTAAACAATCAACAAAAAAATAAAAATAAAAATAATAATAAAGATAATCATAATAATAATAATAATATACCAGTCGACGCTGTTCATTGTATTGGAACTGTTGGAAACAAATCAACCAATATAATT